TACCCGGGCGACGTACGCGAAAGTCGCCGGGGATGTTATCTACGATGGCGATCTCGGGGGTGGTATCCCGAGGTCGACGTGGCTGGTGGGCGCCGTCACGGGCGAAGTGTCTGCGCTGGGCATGTGACGGGGAGTTGGGCGCCAACCAGCTGCACGCACCTGCGAAGCTGGTGCACCGTTGTCCCGCGGATGCGACGCTGTGCAGCCGACATACTGCAGCGTTGGCGCACCGCGGACTTGCAACGTTGGCAAGCCGCGACTCTGCTCTGCTGGAGCGCGGTCGACAGAGTTGTGCTGGCACGCGGTCGACCGTGCTGCGCTGGCAGTGGACCAGCAAGCCTTGCTAGGTCTGATGTAGTCAGTGTTGCCAATGTTGATTGATTCATTCTGAACTTTTTGTTGTGATGATTTCCTAGTGAAACTCTTGCAAATTTTCCTCGTGAACTAGCAAGCAGTGTTAGCACTTGGAAACGACTAAGGAACGAACGAACGCAGAGATCACACGAGCAACCGTGCCTAGCCCGTAGTCTAGCTCCCGTTGCACTAGTTATCTCCGCATGGTGCGGTGAGCGTGGACGGCACCCGACCTACCTTTCAGTCTAGTCGACTTCGTTGCCCCTTACCTAAGTTGTTCGTAGGCCGGCAGCTGTGCGGTTGTCACGATGGTAGTAGCCGTAGGTGACACGGGGGTGGTGGACACCCTAGAGGCACGGCTGGAAAGCGCGAGGAGGAAGCACGAGGCCAACGAGTATGGCGACCTGCCTTGGGCGGTCGTCGAGGCTGGCATCCGTTCCCTATGGGTGACGGAGCACCCTTCTCGGCCAGCTTCTCCTCGACCGGTGAACACCGAGGGCGGCGTCGACGTGGGCGTCAACGCCGATGGAGGCCAAGTCGGTAGCAGTGCGGGAGGTACATCGTGGCAGAGAGGTGTGATACACGCCGGTGAAGTCGGCGGCGTTCAGGCGCGAGGGATGCAGTCGTCGGCGGCTGCAGGGACCTCGCAGGGCTACGTCGGAGGACGACGAAGTGGTGTGGCGTCGATGTCTGCGTCACACGTGACCGCGGAAGGGATCGCGCCGAGCTACGGCTACTTCAAATTTCCGCCGGACAGGATCCAGGTCACCCCCCCGCTGGTCGGTCGACCGGACATCCTCACCTGGAAGGAGGCGATCGAGCCCCAACTTGAGATGGCTAGGCTGATCGGTTTCGCTCGTGGGACCGTGGCGACGCCGGAGGAGATCTACCCCGACTTGCGTGCGGAGTTTCGTGCCGTGCAGCTGCTGACCTTCATGGTCATCTCGCGGTGCTGCTCGCCGGGCGTGCAGATCGCCTTGAAGTGGTGCAGAGAGCACCTTGACGCCGGGCACCAAGCGTGGCACTTCATCGAGACGACGTACCAGGTCACCGACGACCTGTACATCGGCCAGCTCGAGGAGCAGCTGTCACACCTGCGGATGGGCGAGCAGGAGACGGCAACCGACTATTGAAATCGTGCTCGGCGACTCCTCGCCATGATGAGGATGGCCGGCGTGAATTACTCTACGGCGTCGTACGTCACGCATGTGATCAAGGGACTCACGAGCAGCTACAACCTGCTGAAGCGGCTGTCAGTGGCGCCGAGCACGCGGGCGACGCTCAACGAGGATTCCCTCACCTCGTACATCCTGCAGGATGAGGCGATGCAGGAGGCCGAGAAGTCCACGGAGCTCCTGCTGCAGGCAAACTACGCCGCCCCGGCGAAGCAAGGTAGCCGACCAGGGCAGCGCGGCAAGCCCGGCAGCGGTGGTAGCGGAGGTGGGAAGCCGGCCAAGGACGCCGACAAGGGCAAGTCGGCGAAGGAAGGCGGTCGCGGAGGAGGAAGTCGGCGTCGGGAATGCTGGATCTGCCACAGCCCCGACCACCTCTCCTTCGAGTGTCCCGACCGCAGCGAATCCGACGACGACGACGCCAAGGGAGGCCGCGGGAGGTCGGCCAGTCCTCGTCCACGTCGAGGCAACCAGCCGCGCAAGGAGAAGCAGTCGACCAAGTCGACCTCGGCGAAGGACGCCGACTCCTCTGCTGGCGGAAAGGGGAGCGACGACAAGTCGGCGTCGTGGAGCCGACCGTCTCACTGGCGCCGGAGGCCGGTGAGGATTTCCGGGCGATGGCAGCAGCGGTGCAGGCGAACCCGGCGGTGGTCCTGCTGGATAGCGGCTGCTCCCACCACCTGATGGGGACGAAGGAGGTCTTCGTCGACATGGGGCCGAGCGGCGACGTTAAACACGTGCGCGGCTTCAATGGGGCGCTGCAGGACGTCAAGGGACGGGGCACGGTTGCGCTGCAAGGGGAGGCCGGGAAGCGGGTGCTCATCCCCGACGTGCTGTACGTCCCCGGCGTGCACGCGAACCTGCTGTCATCCGGCCAGCTGAAGGAGCACGGCGTGAAGCTGAAGGAGGACGGCGACGGCATGCTGCTCGTCTCGGCGACGGGCGACGTGCTTGGTCGCGCAACGTACTCCGGCCGGGTCCTCTGCACCGACCTGCGTCCCTGCTCGGTGTCGACTGCAGCGGAGGAAGTGGCTCTGCGGGCAATCGTCTCGGCGACGAAGGCGACGCCGGACAGACTGCACGCGAGGCTCGCGCACGTCGGTATGGACACCATCCTGAGCTCGGCGAAGCACGAAGTCGCCACCGGGCTGGACCTCAAGTCGGCGTCCGGCGCTGCCTCGCCCTGCGTTTCGTGCGTCGGTGGGAAGCTGGCGCGGCAGAGCTTCCCCGACAAAGGCTCCGACGCCAAGGACGCTCTGGCCGTCGTGCACATCGACCTGTGCGGGCCGTTTCGCGTGGCTGCCAAGGACGGCAGCCTGTACTTCTTGCTGCTGAAGGACCGCAAGACCCGCTACGTGTGGGTGCGGCCGGTCGCCAAGAAGTCAGACGTGCTGCTGGAGTTCCAGAAGTGGCTGGTGCTGGTGGAGCGGCAGACGAAGAAGTCGGTGTTGCAGCTGCGCTCTGACCGAGGAGGGGAGTTCCTCGGCCGGGAGTTCACTGCCTTCGTGGATGGCAAGGGAATCGTCCACGACCTCACCTGCCCCTACACCCCGCAGCAGAATGGCATGGCGGAGCGGGAGATGAGGACGGTGGTGGAGTCGGTGCGGACGATGCTGCTACACATAGGCGTGTAGCACCACTGGTGGCATCTCGCCCTGCGGCAGGCCGTCTGGGTTCGCAACTGCCTGGAGCGGTCGTCGCTGCCCGCGGGGACGACGCCGTACCTGCTTCTCACCGGGCAGAAGCCCGACCTGTCACTGGCGCGGGTGTGGGGCTGCATGGCACAATTTCTCGTCCCATAGCAGCAGCGCGGTGGGAAGCTGAAGCCGAAGGCCCGGTGGGGCCTTCACCTCGGCGTGTCGGAGGAGAGCAAGGGCTGGGAGCTCCTTGATATTGCTGACAACCGGGTGGTCACCACGTCGGACGTGGTGTTCTACGAAAATTTTTCGCTGGAGGTGTGGAAGTCGGAATTCGGGCCCGCGTCGGGGCGGACGCGGGCCAACCCGCCGACGGACACCTCGACGGCGACGCTTCCTCTGCTCGCCGAGGTTGGTGAGGATGTTGCGGTCGCCCCTGCATCTCCTGCCCCTTCTTCCCCTCCCCTTCCAGTCGGACAGCGTGGCTTGCCTTCGGTGTCGGCCTCCGGCGATGAGGGGAGTCGTGGGGAGTCGCCTGTGGCGCCGGCCAAGAGCATCGCCGGTGGCCGACGCGATGCCCAGCCAGTCGCGGAGAAGCGGGCCGCGGATGTGCAGCCAACGTTGGACGCCGCGAAAGAAGCCACGAACAACACCGCGGAGGAAGCCGCGAAGAACACCGCGGAGGAAGCCGCGAAAAACACCTCGAAAACCGCGGACGAGACCGCGGAGGAGATCGCGGAGGAGACCGTTCGCGGAGGAGACCGCGAAGAAGCCCACGGAGAAAACCGCGAAGCCGTCGACAGGGGAGCTCTCGAACAAGAAGTGCGTGTAAGAGAAGCCGTTGTCAGGGGAGCAGTCGAACGCGGAGCTCGCTTCAGAGGAGCGGACGACAGGGGAGCAGTTCGATGAAGGCACATCGAGTGACGTGGTGGAGGTGTAGCCCGGACCTCGGACGTCGGGCCGAATTCGGAGGCCACCCGACTTCTTCGTCCCCGCTGCCTTCACCACGGTCTACGATGTGGACGACGACGACCTGGCGTACGATGACGCCGAAGACGATGAGGAGTTTTCGGAGCTCGACCCCGACATGCACGCTGATCCCGAGCACTTTTGGGACATTTCGACCATGACGGTGAAGGAGGCGTTAGCGAGCTGGAAGGGCCCGGCGGTGAAGGCAGCCATGGAGGAGGAGATTCGTAGCCTCATCAACATGGGCACTTGGGAGCTGGTCGAACGCCCGCCGGGGGTGAAGAACCGGTGGGTGCTGACCACGAAGTACCGCATCGACGACACTGTCGAGCGCGAAAAGGCGAGGCTGGTCGTGAAAGGCTTCACGCAGGTGTATGGCAATGACTACGACGAGACGTACGCGCCGGTGAGCAGCTACGTCACGCTGAGGATCTTCCTCAGCATCGTCGCAGTCCTCGACTTCAACCTGATGCAGCTCGACATGAAGAACGCCTTCTTGCAGAGCAAGCTCGACCGGGTGCTGTACATGTACCAGCCGGACTACTTCAACGACGGGTCCGGCCGGGTGTGCAAGCTGCTGAAGAGCCTTTACGGGCTGAAGCAGTCGCCGCTGCTGTGGTACTTGGCGCTCAACGACGTGCTGGTCGGCGCTGGCTGGAAGAAGAGTCAGGTCGACGAGGCTCTGTACTTCAAGGTCGGCGACGACAAGGTGACCTGCTGGGTGCTGGTCTACGTCGACGACCTCCTCGCCGCGAAAGGAGGAGACAGGCGACGACCAGGTGACCTGCTGTTGTTTTTCTATTTAGATTCTGGTGCGACAGGCGACGACACTCACACTGGGTAGCTACCTGAGCAGACGCGTATAGCTTTAGAGATACGCTGCACATTCCGCCGACGCTGCACATTCCGCCGACGCTGCACATTCCGCCGACGCTGCACACTCCGCTGACGCTGCACATTCCGCCGACTCTGCGCATTGCGCCGACGCTGCGCATTCCGCCGACGCTGCACGTTCCGCCGACGCTGCACGTTCCTCCGACGCTGCGTATTCCGCCGACGCTGCACATTCTGCCGACGCTGCGCATTCCGCCGACGCTGCACAATCCGCCGACACAGCAGATTCCGCCGATGCTGCAGGTTGCGATGCTGGAGAGTCTAAAGCTGCAGGGTCCGACTCTGCACATTCTGATGCTGCACGTTGCGATGCTGCGGAATCCGACGTTGCAGCCGAAGTTTCCGATTTGGCACAATTGGCCGCTTTAAGCGCCACTTGATCTGACCTTGAAGCCGGATCTCGCGTCGGCGCTTGATGCGACGTCACAGGTGGAAGCACTGGAAGCATTGGCGCTGCTGCTGTGTCGTCGGGAGAGCAGTTGTCGTTGCAGCCGGCGCCGGCGTCATTGCTAGAATCGCCATTGTTGGTGCTGCAGCGGGCCGTGACGGCGGAAGAACGGCTCGTGTCGTTCGATCCGCCGCTGGACGACTCGCCCAGCGGCTGAACGCGGCGTGATGCCGTCGAGTCCTCCCTTCCGAGACTCTTCCAGAAGCTCAGCGCTGCAACATATGACGGATAATCTGAGCGGGAAACTGAGGCCATGCTAACGCTGAATGAAAACGGCAACGGAAGGCTGAGAGCTAGTCACAAGAGAGAGCGAAGCTAGAGAGGGATGAGAGGAAAGAGCGTACGCGAGTGATTTGTTGCAACAGTGCGGCAGCCCACTGTTACTGTTGGGCAGCCGCACAGTGCCAACCCACCGGCTAGTGGGAGGCTGCAAACTCCCAAACCACGCAAGGTTGGGATTGGTCAGCCTCCCCTCCCAGCATTTGGGCGCCCACCTGAAGACACGCAGCCCAAACCACACCCTCGCGCGAAAATGACGAAACGCAGAAATGTCAAGCTCCGACCCCTCGCCGACTTCGCCAACGGTGCCGACGAAATTACAGCCCCGTAACCAAGCTCGCCGTCCAATCCCGCATCGCAATCAATCTCTGAATTTCACGGCAAGGTTCATTTCAAGGGGTAGAGTTACCAATAAGAAATTCAGAGTGTCGCGACTTGGTAGTGCGACTCGATTTGTGAATGCATCCTATAAAATTGTGTGTGAAATTTGTTGAAGTCATAGTGAAAATTCCAGAGAACTCTAGAGTGCTCCCTATACCCGTTTTCCAAGCCTACTAAGGCTACTACATCCCTGCCAGCAACGTTTCACTGGTAATCAGAGCCTGGTTAGTCACGTCGCACGCTCCCGCCATATTCTAGACCCTATGGCTGGGCCGTCGGATATGACGCCGGAACTCTGGAACGAGTTTGTTGCTAATATGCGCCGAGAGATTGAACGCGAGGTGCGTGACCGGATTCTCGGCGAACTCCAGGAACGTGGACTCCTGGGCACACAGGTGCCGGCGCCAGCACCTGCTGTGGTTTCTGCACGACCGAAGGCACCCGAACCTGAACCGTTCATCCCTGGAAAACGTCACTTACCGGTGCGACGGTGGCTTTTCCAAGTGGAGGAATACCTCTCCCTTTGTCATGTCAACCGGGCGGAGTGGGCTCGGCACGCCGGCATGATGCTGCGGGGAGCTGCTGCTACTTGGTGGCAGAGCTGCCACGCTACAATTTCAACATGGGAAGAATTTTCTGCATCGCTCCTAATGAACTTCGAACCGGTCAACGCCATCGAGCGCGCGCGTGACAACCTTGCTGATTTACGCCAACACCGCTCGGTCGCTGAGTACATCAATCGCTTCCGCGAGCTCGTGCTTGAGATTCCTGACATCCCTGCTGCTGAACAGATGGACAAATTCAAGCGTGGGCTGAAGCCGAAAATCCGCACCGAGATTGGCGCTGCGACGTTGGATGAGATGATTCGTGTCGCCGAGCGTTTTGACACCATCAACTTTGCAGCGTACCAGCGATTCCAAGGGCGAACCGGGCAGCACGCAGTGGCTGGCCCTACTATCCGCGCCAACGGTCCTACTCCCATGGAGCTCGGTGTGGTGGACCAGCGCACACGCAACCAATCCACGCTCACGTGCTACTCGTGCGGGAAAGTCGGCCACATCAAGCGACACTGCCCGAACCGCCGCAACTTCGAAAGGTCTCCGGGAAACGGACAGCGCCAGTAGCAGTGGGGCAGACCTCTGGCGCATCGCATGCCCCGCTTCTCCCGACCCCATTATCCATCGGCACCTCCGAACTCTACACGTCAAACGTTCCGTACCCCGCCATCATCCTATGGGCAAAAATCAAAGATCGCTACGTTGTTTTTCTGCTTGACACCGGCGCCTCAGCTAATTTCCTCTCTCCCTCAATTGCTGCTGAACTTTCTCTCCCCGAAGATCCCATTAGCAACCCGCAAGACGTGATCATGGCCGACGGTACTCGACGGCGCTGCGGACCTACCCTCCTCCCCGTGCACTGCATGTTCGGAAGTCTGGAGGCGACGGTCACGTTCGAGCAAATGCACCTCGGCGGCTACGAAGGCATGCTCGGACGACCGTGGTTGTACCAGCTTGGACCGCGAATTTATTGGCGTAACGCAACGGTCACCGTCGGCAACTACGACCTCCCATCCCGCTCCTACAGTCGCCCATGGTCATCACCAACAACTTCAGCCTCATCAACCCATCCACCCCACCTTGCCCCACCTCCAGCCTCCCATATCCCCCCTCTCCCTCCTCCTATCATAGCCCCCGCGCAGCAGCCAACACCACCCGGCTCCCCCGAAGTGATCAACACACCTCCTCCTTCCCCACCCCACCCAACCCAGCAGCCACGTCGTCACCTCTTCCGCCCCTTCTCTGAAGTTGTCAATCCACCAGCCCCCACCCCTCCTTCACCACCTCCTCCTCATCATCTCCTCGTCATCTTCACGGCTCCCGAATCTGAAGCATCAACTACTTCTCTACCACCACCCATACAAAATCTGCTCAACGGTTATACGGACGTGTTTCCCGATGATCTACCCGCCGAACCTCCACCCGAGCGTGCTATTGACCATAGCATCCGCCTCATTCCAGGTTCTACACCGCCCGTGCGCCCAACCTATCGCATGAGCACCGCTGAACCTTTGGAGCTTCGACAACAACTCGATGACCTTCTTGCAAAGGGTTTCATCCGCCCCAGCACCTCACCATACGCTGCCCCCGTACTTTTCACTCGCAAGAAGGAAGGTGACCTGCGTCTTTGCATCGACTACCGCGCCCTCAACGCCATCACGATCAAGAACAAGTACCCGCTGCCCCGTGTCGAGGAGTTGTTTGACATGCTTGGGGAAGCAACGGTTTTCAGCAAGCTTGACCTACGCTCCGGCTACCACCAGATCCGCCTCGCCGAAGACGACATCAACAAGACGGCGTTTCGAACCCGCTACGGCCACTTCGAGTTCCGAGTACTTCCGTTCGGTCTCACCAACGCACCAGCCACGTTCATGGGACTCATGAACGATATTTTTCGGCCCTTCCTCGACCGCTTTGTCATCGTGTTCCTCGATGACATCCTCATCTTCAGCAAGTCACTCGAGGAACACGCTCAGCACCTACGCATCGTCCTCGACACGCTCCGCCAACACCGCCTCTACGCCAAGCTCTCCAAGTGCACCTTCGCCCGTTCAAGCATCGGCTTTCTTGGCCACGTCATCAGCTCCAAAGGCATTGCTATGGACCCCGCAAAGGTCCAGTGCCTTGCTGATTGGCCAGCACCACGCACGGTAGCGGAGCTGCAAAGTTTCATCGGCCTCGCCAAGTATTACCGAAAGTTCATCTTCAACTTCTCTCACATCTGCGCTCCGTTGACCGATCTCTTCCGCCAAGGAGCTGTTTTTCAGTGGGGACTACCGCAGCAGACCGCTTTCACCGCAATCAAATCGGCACTCACCTCTGCACCGGTCCTAACCGTTGCTGATCCATCACGGCCATACTTCATATGGACCGACGCCTCCGATGTCGCTGTTGGTGCCATTCTTTGCCAAGACCACGGACATGGGATGCAGCCACTTGCATTCGAGTCACGCAAACTTCAACCGGCAGAGCGCAACTACGCAACACACGATCGGGAGCTCCTTGCCATTGTCCATGCAATCAAGACATGGCGCTGCTACGTGGAGCTGCAGCCCGTCACCGTCTACACCGACCATCGCCCACTTCAACACTTGAAAACGCAGCCCGTACTCAGCCGCCGCCAAGCCCGATGGGTTGAGTTCTTGGAGCAGTTTGTCCCTTCACTTCAGATTATCTACCGCCCCGGAAAGTTCAATCCAGCCGACATCTTGTCCCGACCACCACCACCAGCCCCACCACCCACCGACCAACCCCAACCAACCACCAACCAGCCCCAACCAACCACCAACCAGCCCCACCACTCCCCCACCAGCCCCACCTCATCACCTTCACCTCACACTCCAAACCCACCCTTGCAACTCCATGGAACCAGCAGCATCACATGGGATGATGCCTTCATCACAAAGTTTCAGCGCGCCTATAACGTGACCAGTTTTTTGTCAAGCAAGCACCCGAGGATCCGGCCTACTTATTTGAAGACCCATTTTGGTACAACGTCGTTACGAAGACCATTTGTGTCCCTGCTGATCGCTCCTTACGGCAGCTGCTACTCTCCGAGTACCACGACACCGCCACCGGCAGCCACTTCGGTGTTGAGAAAACCTACGCACGCATCTCCAACGACTACCATTGGCCACGCATGCATGCTGACGTACGTGACTTCGTTCATAGCTGCCGAACCTGCCAACAACTCAAAGCACGCACCACCAACCGCTACGGACTCCTTCAGCCCATCCCTCCACCTACCAAAGTTGTTGGTGTAAGGGCCTAATAAACTCAAGCTATTAGGACTTAATCAAACTTAAAACCTCTCCTCGGGGTCACCTCCAAGGGTCCCTGGGTGCCTGGTACAAGACCAGCCCCTATCCTCGGGTCCGAGTTTGTAGAGAGAGGGATCAAGAAGGACTTAGTCAAAACAGCAAGAGTACCTTGAACGTCGCGCAGCGTGCCGTGCAGACCGTCGGTCGGATTAAGCTGAGAATTCGCTATATCGAAGCTCGCTCCAAGAGCTTTAAAATGAGCCAAGTTGCCTCGCGAAAAGTTCTGCCATTACGAAGTTATGGCTCAGACAGCGTTTGCCTAGCGTTGGAGTGCTAGCATACTAGCGTTGACTCGGGTAGCATTCCGCCGTCGAATAGCGCAGAAACGAAATTCCAGCGAGGAAGGAATTCGCATGAATCAATTTGACTATATTCAGGTACAAACAGAGAAGGATTAAATAGTTCTAGCTAGCAAGGACCTTGGGAATCAACCTGGGAACAACCAGGGATGATCCCAAATAATTCCAAGCAACAGAACCAACCTGGCTGGACAAAATAGCAGGTGGTAGGTTGGTAAACAACCTCTGGTTCTGTTTTTCCAACCTGGGAAAACAACAACCAGGTTCAGGTTCTAAAAACAGAACCTGTTTTGTCTTTGCCCAACCAGCCAAATGCTGGTTCCGCTGGTTTCCCCTGGCCTTGTAGCATGCAGATACAGACAAACAACATCCAACCTTCACCTAAATTGTACCCCTATAGTGCCTTCCCTGCTACACTATAGTTAACCAAACAAAACAGTACAATTTCGAGTTGGATAGAACTGAATCTGCGCAATCAACTCAACCGAACAGCAAAGCTTCCATCTTGGGTTCCTTTGCGAGCTCGTCCTTTCTGCTTGCACTGTTCATAGCGCATACAATGTTGTGCCGAAGCGCACATTGAGCGAGTACCTGCAAATGCATCAAGCGAAAATTGCGAAAGCAAACAAACACACGAACACACCATTCACACGCAAATGCATTCGCACACGCATACTCGTACAAACAGACGGCAGGATGTCGTGCAATGTGCATTTGCACCCAACACACTCCCCCTCAGCCTGCCGGCTGCATCCCCGTCATTCCATGCTAGTTCATGCTCATTCCACTCATGCGCACACAACGCCAATGAGGCTCATCCGCAAGCCTCTTGGTGAGAAAGTCTGCTGGCTGCTGGTGAGTCTTGATGTAGATCGGATGCACCGTCCCCCTCTTCACCTCCTTACGCAGCCAGTGCCACTTGATACGCATGTGCTTGTTCAGCCCATGAAGCACAGCGTTTCTGGCCATCCCAAGAGCCCCCTTGCTATCACAAAACAGCGGCGTAGCAACTTTCTGCTCCTGGCCAATCTCCTCTAACAGCCTCCTCAGCCAAATCACCTCCTTCACCCCATGGAACATCGCCATGTACTCTGATTCTACGGAAGAGAGTGCCGTCTCCGTCTGCTTCTTGGACCTCCAACTGACAGGTCCTCCCCCAACTACGCAGATGTATCCTCCCACAGATGAGGAATCCTCCTTCTCAGAAGCCCACGTAGCATCGGTAAAGCAAGTGAGAAATAGCTTGCCTTCTCCAAGCCTCTCCCCCTTCTCTTTCAGCACCTCCACCCCTTTCTGCTTCACCTGTGCAGATGCGGAATATTGAACTCCAATGCTTGGGTGAGAGTTCAGGTACTTCACCACACGCTCAGCTGCATCCACCTGCTCCTCTGATGGATTCTGCACCACCCTAGCCAGCTGCCCAACCGAGAAAGAGATATCGGGCCTCGTGTGAACTGCTGCGTACAAGAGGCTGCCCACCAAGGACTGAAATTGCTGCTGCTCCTCGGCTTCAACCCCTTCATCCTCTGCAGCCTTCACAAGCTTGAATTGTGCTGGCAGGGGAGTTGCAACCTTGCGCTCATTCTCAATCCCATACTTCTCCCCCAGCTCCTTGATGAACTTCTCCTGGTGCAGCTTCAACCACCTGTGATCTGGATCCCTCTCCACGTGCATCCCGAGGTAGTACTTTACCTCCCCAAGGTTCTTGCACTTGAAGTTCTCCATCAGTTGCTGCTGCACTTTCTGGATCTCCTTCATGCTGCTGCTGAAGAGAAGAATGTCGTCCACATAGACCAGAAACAGCACCAGCTTCTCCCCCTCACCCTTGAGAAAGAGGCTCTCATCACAGCTGCTGGTCCTGAATCCCATCTCCTCTAAAACAGCTGCCAACTTCTGGTACCAGCAGCGTGGCGCCTGCTTCAAGCCGTAGATGGACTTGTTGAGCTTGCACACCCTGCCCGTACCATCCTCATACCCAGGCGGCTGCGTCATGTACACATCCTCCTCTAAAATCCCATTCAGGAATGCCGTTGAAATATCCATCTGAATGATGAATTTCCCACTAACAGCTGCATCTGCCAACAAGACACGGAGGGTAGGGGGTTTGGCAGTGGGAGCAAAGATCTCGTTGAAGTCCTGCTTCTCCTTCTGCATAAACCCCTTCGCCACCAGCCTACTCTTGTAGATGGTGACCTGCCCCTTGTCATCGGTCTTGATCCTCAGCACCCACTTGCATTGTATCGCTTTCTTCCCATCAGGCAGCACCACCAGATCCCATGTCCTATTCTCCAGCAGACTCTGGTACTCAGCATCCCTAGAAGCCAGCCACTTGTCCCTATCTGGTCCAGCTAATGCCTCCTCCATGCTAGCTGGTTCCTCTGGTGCAGGGGCAAGAAAACAGTACGCAGGCTCATCCTCCTCATCCGGGTCATAGCCATGAGGTAGAATCAGCAATGCCTCTTCGGTCCCTAGCTGCTGCTCTGCTGCATCAGTTCCTGCAGTCAGCTTCTTAGTAGCCATACGGGTACGTCCTGGCCTGGAGACGGGTGTCTCCCATCCCTTCATAACGACACCCTTCGGCTTCTTAGTTTTTCCCTGCTGCTTCTCTCCTCCCTCGGGTCCAGCAGCTCCACTAGTGCTGCCGCCAGTTTCCACACCATTTTCTCCACCAGCAGATGCCTCCTGTACCTTCTCTCCATCACCATTTCCAGCAGCTGCCTCCTCTCCCTCCTCCCACACACTAGGAGTCAGGTCCAGCTGCATGGTGATCTGCTCCATCTGCTGGGACATCCTTGCCTCCGGCTGTTTCTCCCAGCTCCCATACATCATGCCCTCAATGAATTTCACATCCCTGCTGTCAAACAACACACCCTTGGATGGTTCCCACAGCAGCCATCCCTTGCTCTCAGCAGCCAGCCCCAAATGCACACACCAGATTGCACTCGCCCCCAACTTACTTCGGTAGGTCTTGGGGACGTGGGCGACTGCCATGCAACCGAACACCCTCAGCATGTCCACCGGCGGCTTCCTCCCAAGCCACCTCTCCAAAGGCACCCACGAGTCATCCCCAACCTTGGTGAGCACCCTGTTCCTAGCGACAGTGGCGTGCCGGACAGCATGAGGCCACATAGAATTGCTCAGCCCAGATTCTATGAGCAGCGCCCTAGCTGTCTCCAGAATGGTCCGGTTTGCCCGTTCTGCTACACCATTGGACTGTGGGGTATAAGCCGTGGTCAGCTCTCTCTGGATGCCCTGCTTCTTGAGCCAGGCCGTCATTTCAGCTCCAAGGAACTCACCACCCCGGTCTGTCCTAATCCGCTTCACTACACACTCCGCCTGCTTCTCCACGAATGGCAGCCAATCGTCCCGTATCGTGGAGGCGGCGTGGTCCTTCTGCTTCAGCGGATACGCCCACATCAGCCTGCTCCAGTCATCCACAATTGTAAGAAAATACTGCTCCCCCTTGTGCCCTTGCACCGGCAGCGGCCCCACCAAGTCCATGTGGACCAGCTCCAAAGGCTTCTTGCTCCTGCCAGCCACACTATGGAAAGGGAAACGGGTGAACTTTGAAAGCAAACAGATTTCACAGTTGTCATCGGGTGGCTGTCCGTTCAGCTTCAGACCCTTAACGGCTCCGTCCTTCTCCAGCTGCTTCAGCAAAGGCATTGCCACATGCCCTAAGCGCCGGTGTGCCGTTGCCCAATCTGTCTCCCCAGATCTGGCCGACACTTTCACACCAACCCCTCCAACGGCATTGCACTCCCCCTGGGATGCAGACCCCTCTCCAGCCTGCCCCCCACCATGCCACGCCAGGGCCGGCAGCTGCCACATAGATCTGTACACGTCCTTGCTCTCGTGCAGATCCCAAAGCACCCGATTGCCCAGCTTCCCCTTATAAGTGCGTGCCCCATCCGTGTTGGTGTTCACCCCAGCCTTGCCAAGCTTACGGAGGGAGATAAGGTTGGCCTTCAGGTCGGGGACGAAGAGAACGTCGTGCAGCACCACCGGCTTGCCATCCGCTCCCTTAAACGCAGCTCGTCCCGCACCAGCCACCTTCAACATGTGTCCAGAGGCGGAGCACACTTCATTGATCGGTGCAGCTCGTACTTCGTCCAGCAGGTCCTTGCGCGGCGTCATCGTCCAAGCAGCGCCTGTGTCCAACACCCAATAGTCTAGGGGGTGCAGCTCTGCTCCAACTTTGGCAGAGGCGTCTCCTTGCTCCCCCTTGTCTCCCACATGGAAGAATTGGCCCGCGGTGCGCTCCTTCTTCTTCTCCGCACCGCCGTTGCCCTTCGGGTTGTTGTCGGACGAATCAGCGACCATGTTGGCGCCGTTTTTCTGGTTCCTCCGCGCGCCGCCATCCTGGTGACGATTCTGGGGGGTCCATCCATCGGGTTTCTTATAGCACAAAAACCAGGGGTGCCCTTCCTTCTCACAATACCAGCAACTCCCTTTCATTTTGCCACCAGCACCCGACTTGCCCCCACGTCCAGATTTCGCACCGCGACCCCAACCGGTACCTCCTTGTTGGTCGTTGGAGTCGTCGTCTTTCTTTGCACCGCGTCCAGCACCACCGAAGCCACGTCCTCTGCCACGTCGGCTCCCTTGCATCCCGTAGCCGCTGCTGCCGTCGTCTCCACCCCTCAGTTGGCGGCGACGGAAGTCCTCCTCCAGAATCTTCGTCCGCACCCACTCGAGCGTCCACAAGCTCTGGTTCTGCGGCAGGCTCAATCCGCTCGTAAATTGAAGCCACGATTCTGGCAGCAGCGAGAGCATCTTCAAGCACTTGGTCTGCTCCGGGTAGGTGATTCCCGTGGTCGCCAACTTCGCGTAGAGGTCGCGCATCTTGTCCAGGACTGGTTGCACCGGCTCTCCCTCGCTCAGGCGCAACGCGGACAGCTCCCTCTCCAGCATCAACGTTGCGACAACGGAGGTCGGGGCGTGCAGCTCCTTCAACACGGTCCACGCCTTCGGACCGCATTCAACCTCCGGCAGCAGGTGCATGACGTGGTGACGCTGGTTCAGCTCCAAACTCTGCGACATCAAATAGTAGCCAGCCGAGGAGCGCTCGTCCCAATCTTCCTGCAGCGTGGGGTCACTCGGTCTAGGCTCCTCCCCAATCATTAGTTTCAGCAAACCGATCTGACGGAAATATAATTGCATTTTCCAGGCCCAATCATCATAGCCCTCACCATTGAACTTCTCGACGGTGAAATTCTTCAGCACCTCCTTGACAAGCGAGCCCTGGTTGGTTCGCGCTCCCCTTGGCGCTGAAAGACCAGAATCTTGGCTGCCGCTACGATCTTGGGCTGAAGATTCACCAGCTCCCGCCGAGGTGTTGCCCGCCATAGCTACCTATAACGAGGATCACTATAACGCAGCTCTGATACCAGCTTGTTGGTGTAAGGGCCTAATAAACTCAAGCTATTAGGACTTAATCAAACTTAAAACCTCTCCTCGGGGTCACCTCCAAGGGTCCCTGGGTGCCTGGTACAAGACCAGCCCCTATCCTCGGGTCCGAGTTTGTAGAGAGAGGGATCAAGAAGGACTTAGTCAAAACAGCAAGAGTACCTTGAACGTCGCGCAGCGTGCCGTGCAGACCGTCGGTCGGATTAAGCTGAGAATTCGCTATATCGAAGCTCGCTCCAAGAGCTTTAAAATGAGCCAAGTTGCCTCGCGAAAAGTTCTGCCATTACGAAGTTATGGCTCAGACAGCGTTTGCCTAGCGTTGGAGTGCTAGCATACTAGCGTTGACTCGGGTAGCATTCCGCCGTCGAATAGCGCAGAAACGAAATTCCAGCGAGGAAGGAATTCGCATGAATCAATTTGACTATATTCAGGTACAAACAGAGAAGGATTAAATAGTTCTAGCTAGCAAGGACCTTGGGAATCAACCTGGGAACAACCAGGGATGATCCCAAATAATTCCAAGCAACAGAACCAACCTGGCTGGACAAAATAGCAGGTGGTAGGTTGGTAAACAACCTCTGGTTCTGTTTTTCCAACCTGGGAAAACAACAACCAGGTTCAGGTTCTAAAAACAGAACCTGTTTTGTCTTTGCCCAACCAGCCAAATGCTGGTTCCGCTGGTTTCCCCTGGCCTTGTAGCATGCAGATACAGACAAACAACATCCAACCTTCACCTAAATTGTACCCCTATAGTGCCTTCCCTGCTACACTATAGTTAACCAAACAAAACAGTACAATTTCGAGTTGGATAGAACTGAATCTGCGCAATCAACTCAACCGAACAGCAAAGCTTCCATCTTGGGTTCCTTTGCGAGCTCGTCCTTTCTGCTTGCACTGTTCATAGCGCATACAATGTTGTGCCGAAGCGCACATTGAGCGAGTACCTGCAAATGCATCAAGCGAAAATTGCGAAAGCAAACAAACACACGAACACACCATTCACACGCAAATGCATTCGCACACGCATACTCGTACAAACAGACGGCAGGATGTCGTGCAATGTGCATTTGCACCCAACAAAAGTATGGGATGAAGTCACCATGGACTTCATCATGGATCTGCCCCGCACACCCCGCAGCTACAACGCCATCCTAGTCGTTGTCGACCGACTCTCCAAAATGAGCCATTTCATCCCCACGCACACAACCGTCACCGCACCCGAAACAGCCCGGCTCTTCTTCGATCACATAGTCCGCTTACACGGCCTCCCATCCGCCATCATTTCAGACCGTGACCCTCGCTTCTTGAGCAACTTTTGGCAAAGCCTCTTCAAGCTTCACGGAACCCGGCTGAAATTTTCTACAGCGTATCACCCAGAAACGGACGGACAAACCGAACGGATGAACCGCACGCTTGAAGACGCCCTTCGTGCACAAGTTAACGCTCGCCAAACCGATTGG